TTTCAAGGGTGGCACCCGTTCGGAACTCGGCAGTCCTAGAGGGATCAGTCTGATCTCAATTGCCTCTAAACTGTTTGCGCCTGTCATTCTCCACAGACTGACTGGCACTCGTGAAAGCCAGATTCGGGAAGAGCATCCGGGTTTCGTCGAGTTCGGGGCTGCACCAACCACATCACCTTGCGTCAATTGTTAGCTCACCGCCATGTCTATTGGCGACCCAGCATTGTTGTGTTTCTTGACATATAAGGTGCCTTCGAGTCAGTTGATCGACGTGCCCTTTGGGATTTCCTGCTGAGGAAAGATCTACCTGATAAATATGCAAACATTATCAAAGAGCTATAGGCGCATAGTTAGGGCAGTGTTAGGGTTTAGGGCAAACTGTCGCCACTCTTCAGTATCATCAGCTGTGTGAGGCATGGTTGCCCGTTGTCACCCTTCCTATTTAACTTCGCGGTTGACTAAGTTATGGAAGCAGCATTCGCTGGACACGACCTAGAAGGTGTGGAGCTACTTCCTGGTGAGCGACTTCTTGACTTAGAATTCGCGGACGATATTGCCCTAATCTGTGTCAGGTCCCAAACTTGCCAAGCAGCACTAAACCAATGAGCACTGGCTGTCTATCGTTTTGGGCTATGCTTTTCTCCATCGAAATGCAAAGTACTTCTCCAAGATTGGCAGGACACCACCCTGCGCTAACGCTTGGTGGTGATCTGATAGAAGTCGTTCTTGAATTCAAGTACCTGGGCAGCTACATTAGCGCCCGTGTTATCGAAGATGGGGGTACGATTCGTATAGCAAAAGTTCGAGGTGGTTTTACCAATCTCCACCACTTGTGGCGCAGACGCGACCTTACTTTCGCCCTGAAGGGAAGAGTTTATAACGCAGCAGTCCGTTCAACTCTCCTATATGGTTGTGAAACCTGGCATATCAGGTCGACAGACATAAAGAGGCTCGTCATATTCGATCATCGCTGCCTTCGCAGTTTAGCTCATGTCTGGTGGGAGCACCGCGTGAGCAATGGGCGTGTTCGGCGTCACGTATTTGGTTCAGAAAGAGCGAGTGACCCGCTCAGCACCATTATATCACGCACCAGGCTCCGACGGCTGGGCCACGTGTTGCGCATGCCAGCACATCGACTCCCGCAACGTGCAGTGTTTGCGCGTTGTGGGTGCGGTTGGAAGATGAGAAGTGGGGGCCAAGTGATGACTTGGTGGAGAGAAATTAAAACCCTCACTTCGTAGTTGACGTCGGTTGGTGCATCCCGACTACCTAGCTGTGGTCCTCCAGACGATGAACACGTTTGGTTGGACACACTTGCTGATATGGCGAAGAGCCGGCCCCAACGGCGTTTGTGTTGTGTGTTCCTTTGTCCATCCCCTCTCCTTCTTAACCACCCCATCCAATCACCACCACATTCGTCAAGTATAATGTAACGCCTTTTACGGCACGATAGCCGACTGTTAGCTTTCCGGAACGATGTCCATCTGTTACTGGGGACTTAGCCGGCGTGCCACTGTCGTTCTTTTCTTCTTGTCTTTTGTATTGCAGCACAATAGCTGAGGTGTTTTCCACCTGCAGCTAACGGGTGTACTAAATGAATAGATAAATTTCAAAAGAGAATGGCACGAGTGGTTGGGATTTCTCAGGATTTGATACACCAGTAGAATATCGCCTCTTAGACGCCTGTAACGTCTGCTGTATAGTTTGAAGCTTTTCAGCCTGAGTGGGTAGGGGGGGCGGGAGAAACTTCTAACGTTCTTTGTCGCCCTGCGTTGTGCGGTATCGAGCGTGGTGACGTGGTGCTTCTGCCAGGATTGCTACACTTGAATAGTGTATTCCGTGTGCAGTCTCACGTACGCGCCAAGCATTGCGAAAATAGTGAAGCGTCAAACTTCCCGAACGCTCTACGAATAAGGTGGAAGTGTTGATTTGCTTCCTTTGAGGGTTTTTCAGTCTGCCTCAAACACCCATGGTCCTCTTGCAATGGAAACAGTCAACTAGCCAAGTAATTTATGTCTCTGAAAGCATCAAAGTGAAGTAGGGTCATCGGATAAGCGCTAAATCTAGCCTTGCTTACTCGTTCATAACTGGTAGTCAGTGGGCTGAAAACGATCGCTCGGTTATCGAGGGTAGAAACTAACTGGCTCTGTAGACACAGCAGCTAAGCATTTCGCCGAAGTGACAACTTCGGCTGTTAAAAAAGTATGGAGGTTTTCGATTTTTTAATTTAAACAGCTGTATTTTGAAACGAAATTTAATTAGTTGAATTAAACGTATCTACCCTTTTCACTTTAAACTGCATGTCTTGCGAACCACGTTGGGCATTATCCAAACGAACTTGGAGGCATTACAAAACACGTTGGAAGTTTTGCAAAACAAAATGCACCTTTGCAAACCACTTTGGAAGCTTTCCAAAACAACTGACACATTTTACAAAACAAAAGGAACTTTTGCAAATCACTTCGGACGTTTTGCAAAACAGCTGGCACTTTTTGCTAACCACTTTGGACACATTGAATTTTAAGCAGAAGAGTAGCAATTCGCTTGCAAGAACTGAGGTGTAGGGCGACTAGGCAATATTCAGATTACATTGTAGTCATGCTAATGCAACCGGATAGTGTAACAAACGTGTGCCACTGCAAACGCTTCTCATGATCGTGATTCTCGATCATCTCGATCAAAGACGGTGACTGAGTGTCTCCTTACCACACATCTGTCTTCTCGTAGTTTATGTGCTTCTGATTATACACCTGGACCTATGTAGTTATGTGACTATTAGAAAGCCGGACTTTCCAGTCGCATAGTCTACCATGACTTAAACAAATGTTACCTAGCATTGGAGGGTCGTTGCGAAGCACTCATTTTGAGAGTGAATTACGAGGCGCCATCTCAATGTGGACCGCGATTCAAACTGAATTCAACCTCGACCATTTCGATCACTTGGACCGTAACTGATGTTGCAGATAAGCGGCGATTAAGGGGACTGTGCGATATTCCTGCTACATTGCGCTTACACGAGTGCAACGCAATTGCGTAAGCAGTGGGTGACGGTGCATTCCCACCAATTGATCATGGGCATCAGTTTTCTCGATCAGAACCGGTGGCCCAGTTGTCCTCTGTAGCTCTACGTACTTTCACGTATCTTATGTGGGTGTGTGGGCGTACCTATTCAGCTGTGGGAATATTGGAACGGTGTAGATCATGATGAATCTACCAAAACCAGCCTAATTTTGCTGGCTTAAACTTGCAGTTTTTATCAGGGTAATAAGGCAACTGGACCATGTTCCCGCTACATGTTGGTCACGCGAATGCAACTGGACTATGCAAGCAGTGGGCAGTGCTTCAAGCCTTCCTCTTGATCATTGTCGGTGTTCAACTCCATCGAAGCGGGTGACATTTTGGCTTATCACCCTATGGGCAACCTCGTATTTCCTGTGGGTGAATAGACCAACCTATTCAGCTGCTCGATTATTAAATCAGCGCGGGCTATCATGAATTCACGCAACACAGCATAGCTTAATTAGCCTTGTGCTGCACGAGACGATCAAAATGAGCGAAAAACAGCGAGAGAAGGCATCTTCGATGCCGAGGCGGTACTCACATGACTTTGAAAACAAGCTACAGCTGTAAACCAATAAAGATAGCCAGCAGTGTTCCAGTAATTACACTGCATAGGTTCACCCACACATCAACAGGAAATAAGCGAAAGCTCACAGAGCAACCGGGACAACTGGATCTCCGGCTTTGCTCGAGGTGAACCATACCAATTATCCAGCGGAGGGATTACACAATCGCCCACGGCTTGCACAGTCCGGTTGCATTCACGCGAGCACGACGTGGTCTGAACATCGTCCAGTCGCCTTACTCCCCTTGCTTTGACAACGATTTCCAGCAGTAGGCGAATAAAGCTATATCGCAAGGACAATAAGTAACGCAGCACAAATTTGTCAGTACTTGGAACGATTATGGTCTCAACTCCACAGACGGTATCACTGTGGCTATTAATCCGAGAAGTAACGACGATAAAATTTTGCGTTCCGCTGTACTGTGGTACAGAAATCCACCTCTGATCCTGAAAGAATTTGGCCAAAGCAGTGAGACAACAAGCGTGACATCGAATTGAACCAATCACTTCTTAGATGACACACCAGTGAACGCATGAAAATCAGGTGGCTCAAACGGAATGTCACGACACTGTAGAGCAAGAGGCAGTTGCAGTGATTCCGACTAGCCGGATTTTACTCACTTATCGCTTGTTTAACACTGTGGCACAAGTTGCGCGCAAACACTTAGCCCATGATTGTCAACGTACTCGGAGGGAACATTACCAAAGCGCAATACGTTCGTCCCAATTCCACACCAATATCTGTGCCTACCTCCACGTAACTATGCAGTAGGTTCCTTGTTAATCAAGACACTTTTGTTAAGAGACCGCATGTGCATTCTTAGTATGGACGATATATTGTGAGTTCAGTTTCCAATTATCTGCAATTGTGTATACTTGTTTTCGACACGGAGAAACCCATTTTTGCCCTTTGATAGTACAGAATAAGTTCGTCAAGCTATGTATGAATGTTTTGCTCGAACTAACTTAGACAAATTCAATGAACGATCTGAGTATACCGTAAGAACACATTGCAAGAAGTAGTGGAAGACCTTCCACCTTATACTTTGATTTCATTACCTATAGGCACAGTGAAACAGTCATGATAATGCAACAGAACACAGGATACAACTTTTCTGTTTTCACTACTCGGTGCTAAAGCCCATTCCGTCTTTGCTCTGTGGGGTAAGAACCTCTGGCCTTCCTCATACTAGTCCGTTGTTTAAAGCAAATGAGCCACGAAGAGTAACAACAATCGACCTGGTTTATTTACTAGCTAATATACAGTACAGCCCACGTTCCACACACCTGCATTTACCTTCATTACGAGCAATCTTTTGGTGTACTGCGTTTACACCAATAACAATATACTTCGGTTTTTACCCTTTTTTAACAGGGTCAAAATCTGGCTGAAATTCGGCGAGTTGTTCCTTCGGCGGCATTTTCCCAGGCGACTGCGATTCGCTTGATTTCCCAGTGTCTGGACGCAGTGCGTACACTGCACGACGCCGGATTTTTGCACAGAGACATAAAACCATCCAACTTTGCCTTACAACACATCTCTCAAAACGACAGATTTTCCAAGCCTAAGATTATCCTTTTGGATTTTGGGCTCGCCCGGCCTTACACTGTGGCTGGTCCGAACAGCGAGGTCCGCAGTGCAAGGTCTGCCGCCGGGTTTCGTGGAACAGTTCGCTACGCTTCTATACATGCACATCAGCACCGAGATTTAGCGCGGCGGGATGACCTTTGGTCCTTATTCTACATGTTCGTGGAGTTCATTTCAGGACAGCTACCCTGGCGACGTGTGCGCGATAAGCAGCTTGTTGGTCAGATGAAACTTGCCGTAGACAATGAAGAACTAGCTTTAAAGGGTGGTGTGCCACCTGATGTTGTGAAGATATGGTGTGCTCATTTAGCAATGTTAGACTATGAGAGCAAGCCAGATTACGACCTACTGGAAAATAGTCTATCCACTTGGTTGGCAAAAAATCATATCGGATGGAATGATGCTTACGACTGGGAGCGGTGCAAGGCAGATTCCTCAATCTTATTTGATCCACTGATAAACAAATCGAGAACCGATTTTGAAGGAAAATTCCAACAACTTCGCTGTCTTGACAGACTGAAGCCTGTTGATAGCACTGTTGGATTACGTAATCCTACGATGAAACACCCCGTAACACATGGCAAACGAAGTGCTTTTCGTCAATCTGTGCAGTCCAGGGTAAATGATCCCTATTTCCGTAAATCCAACAGTGTTAACAGATTGCATCGGCATCCTAGTAAAAGGAGTAAGTCAAAAAGCCAAAGGAAAAGCAATGCAGCAATCGCAGAGGAACTCACGATTCAAGCTCAAGATCATTCGCTTGGATGCGAAGTGAATACTCGGTACAAAACAGCATGTTTTGTTGATTTATCGGTGGAAAAAACACAGACAGATATCTACTGTCCTGACCGAATGGACCAAGAGGAAGACAACTGCGGACTTGGCTGCGAACTTGCTTCTCAGAAGTCACAACCTAACTTGATGAGGAGTTCACATTTTACGAAGGGGAATATGAATGAAAGCGCTCAAATTGCTAATTCTTGTTCTTGCTCATCTCCCATATCATCTGCCCAAGGTGGCTATTGGGCTGCTCGCTTGCCGAAACCAGAAGCGGGTAAGAGCAATTTAGGTGAAACGAGTTAGTCTTACTTGACATGTTCTTTTACATTGTGGTCCTCCGAGATTCCAAAAGCTCTTTTGTGAGTAGTAGCATAACTGCAAGTCATAGTTACCAGCCTGTTTCGATTATTGTAGTGATTCATGTGAATCACTCAGGTGTAAACCGAAGCCAACCGCAGATTTCACGCACAGTTGTTGTGCGGCAGGTATAACTGACATTACCTTAAATAATATTACTGAAACAGTTTCAAGTGATTGTAGGCGTAGGGGTTGTTGCGCACAAATATCAAATACGGATTGTTTCTATAAACTAACGAGAGGCATAAACAACTCATTAGAGATGGCGAAACAGCAATGGTATACCTATAAATGCATAACAATGCACAGTCGAGTAAGTCGTTATTACCTACGTCATGCTACTGGCGCACGTAACGGTGCATCATGCTTATGTAAAGTAAGTCGATATTGATTAGTTTGTATTTTATGGCTCTCCCTTTCCTGCTTTATAGTCCATACCCCATACGTACTTAGTTTGGCAAAATAATTAACACTTACACTTAACAACACTTCGCATCTTGGGGAACGCAAGTATTTCCTTCAACAAACTGGTTTTGTTGCGCCAGTTAAGATGGCTCGGTCATTTCCTACGCATGGCACTTGAGCGTCTACCGCGTCGCGCTCTATTTGCTCGTCAAGGACCTGGCTGGAGGCGACCGCGTGGTGGTCAGCCTTCCACTTGGCGGCAGCACATGAAATCGCTGACGTCGTGTCTATCCGCTGTTGGATCCGTACGTCTTCCAGGATGGGGACCCAAAGATGAGGAGTGCCAATGGCTTTGGACTCTTGAAGATATAGCCGGAAATCGGAATCAATGGAAGAATTGTGTACAGTATTGTATTGATGCACATGTTTAATACTATAAAGATGAAAATGACAAAAATGAGCAAAATCGGTGTGTGAAAAACAAACTAAAAATATTTTTTCTATGTTTTGTCACAATGTTCCATTCTTCTTGCGGCATATTAACTGAAGTGCGTTGCTCCCCTTCAACTACCATGCCACGATGATTATGACGCAATGACTGTCTCCTATCCGCCTATCTCAATGGCTTTTTTGGCTCTATGTCTAGTTGCTAGACTGTTGAGATTACACATACATAGATTACACTTAAGAATAACTCCACCAACGATTTTTTGCCTGCATCTTTCTGCAGAATCGGATCATTTGTTAAACACATGAAGCGACAGGAAAAGACAGTCTCCGATTTTAACACTTGTCTCCTTCATTCCTTATCGACCTACCATTGCTTTTAACTTTCAGTCCCCAACACACTGTTCTCGGTAGATTGCGTAACGTTCCTCGCTGAAGCGCCTACCGGCGTTATGCACCAGGCTGTCTGTTATAGTGCTCCGCTAAATTTAGCTACTTTTCGAGCTGCCTATGTCGTTGACAGCCGCTACGACTTGCGCCACACTTCTTCGAGTAGTACGGTAATCCTTTATACACATCTAAATCCAAACAGTGAACATTTCTTGAAACCTACGTAGTCAGAATGAGAAAATCTGTTCTGGCTTTTGCAGTTGTCAAACTAGTCTTCACTTCTATATTTAGGTCTCTGCTATTTCAGCCATTCGCATCTATAAGAGATTAAGTATGCACCAACCATTCCTTTGATGTATTACATGGAGATCGGAGTTATGATGCACTCAAAGTACTGGGTTACGGTTTAGTGGACCAACATGTATGTTGATGGGCAGTAAACATCCGGCTACTTAGCCGGAGGTAAATTCTCCGTCAGATGGACAGTCACCTTGACTAGTTTCACGAAATAATACTGACAATCAGAGAAAGTAATAAAAATATTGATAATTAAAATGCAGTGATCTGAGAATAACAAACACATTCCAGCTTCTAAATCTTAGAAGATTCTTGGAACTCATCGCGAAGTCATGAGTTTAGAGAGGCTTGAAAACAATCGCTTGGCATAGTAGTTTGGTAACCTTTCGTTCTTGACACAAGAGCTTCGTCAGACCAGGTGAATCAGTGTGCAGTTGGAGTGGCATTATATAGCGAATAGTGATGTTAATTACGATATCCCAAACCTGAGCCAAGGTCACATCACAGTCATACTTCGCGAAGTTACCTCAGGTCGTTCAGTCACACTGGGAATAGCCCAAGTTTTCCTTTGTGCGTCATGACATTGACGAATAAGCTCACAGTGGTGACAGTGGAAGTCGAGTTGCACTTTCCAATCTGATCCGCGCATCTGGACCATTCTCACTGTGATTGAACCGCCTTAGCTGACTTCGCGAACTGTGACTGTAATGTCACCTTTGCTCAAGTCCCGGGTAACGCGATTATGGTCCGTGTTCGCTATAAAATGCCACTCCAATTGCACACAAATTCACCTGGTCTGACGAAGCTTTTGTGCCAAAAGGGAAAGATTACCGAACCACGATACCGAACGATTGTTTCCAAATCTCTGAAAAAGTTCCAGTTCCTTTATATCTGAGCCAGTGATTCCGAAATGAACACAAAACGCACCACGTGCAATATGGCTTACTCAGAGGACCCCATTCAGAGAGACAGTAAGTAACAACCCTACTCACATGCCACTATACCATATC